GCAGAAATAAGTAGTTGCTAAAACTGCCGTGTTCAGAGGCATCAAAGTCTATAAGCAATAGCTTTTGCCAGTATAGTGAGGTCTAGTGAAAACTATAACTATAAATGTGGACCTGTTGGTAAGTGACTTTGCTGCTGCTTTTGCAGTCATGGTTGCAAATGTAAACCAAAAGTGAATGGCCTTGTTGTCTGTGCTGGTTTCACTGCTGTAAGTATTCAGGGCATGTTTGTCCTCAAATGAGTATTCATGACTAGCAGGAGACTATTTTAATAATGTCTTTGGTTAAGGACAAACAGCCTTTCCATTATTATTGTCGTAGCCTTCTGCTGTACTTAATTCAGTTGAAATGCTTCCAGAATTCTATGTGGTATTTCAGCTGATGTCCATCCTTGCATTAAAAAGCTAAGTGTTTGTGGTAAAAGTACAGTTATATTAGCCTGAGACATTCAGGAACTCATCCATCTTTTTCTGAAGTCATATCGTGTTAGTATCATTCAGACATCAACCAATAACGTGTGCCTGAACACTCAGTTTGTAGCTCCAATTCTTATTTATTCACTATGGGTGGCATGTCCTTATGTGTGTTCAGTATTACATTTCACACCACTAGGATTATTTTATCCCCCTAAGCCCTTCTATTACCTTGTGTAGAAGGATTGCTTTCTATATTTACATTACTTCATTGACATTTCATGTTCCATAAGAAAAATTGATGAATGTATTTCTACTACTTGCATAGTAGAACTCCTACTCTCCAGCCAGATACTTTCTTAAGCAGCACAATGAGAGATGTCTTCCTTTTAACTGGTTTCTTATTCATCATTTTGCTTTTGGTTTAGTCTACCTCTTATCTAACTATTAGTTGAGTTCCCTAGGTGATGTCATTATAACTAATCAGTAAGAGAAATAAAGATGGCTTACACTATGTGGTCAGAAGCTTGATCCCATTCTATTAGAGATGCAGTGACGTGCAGGTGTGCAGATTCTGAAAGGTTATTTTCCTTCTGCTTTTAAAATGTTTCCTATCCTCCCATCTCAGACTGCTTGATTGTCCCTGATACACTTTTTAAGCAGTTACTAGCCCAGTTAGGGCTGGATCGGTTGTCTGAAAATACATTCCATGGCTTGGGATTCAGGTTCCTGATGAAATTTATCTAAGCAGAGGTGGAAAAAGCCCTCAAACCTCCTAACATTTTTGGGTGATAAATTTCCTCAGTTCATTGCCATTTGACTTCCATGAACTAGTTCTCTTTATTCTTTAGTGTTTGTCACTTGCAATGCAAAATTTTAGCAGAAAAACTGTTTATATTTATCCTTTCATAATGAACTAATGATTATTTTATTAAAGATTAATTTAAAGCGATAGCTAAGGCCATAGAAACATTGTCAAGATGACAACTGCATACACTGAATTTGATTCACATTTGATTCTATAGGCTTGCAGCCTTTTTGCTTTCTTGCTTCAAGAGCTACGCTCTGCTTTGTAAAGCTGATGGTTCACTCTGTTTTCTGAAAAAAAGTATCCAGTTTAAAACGCTGGACTAGGGTTTTCAACAGACCTGTGCAGCAGATATAAACTCTTTATGTGTGCCAGATGGTACTTAGATTTGAGACTGCCTGTAATTATTGTGTTTTTAATAATGTTTCAGTAGGAGAAATTAAGATGGTTAGATGTGAAGTCAGAAAGCTGACCAGAATTCACTTTCTGATTTTCCTGATACTAGATTTCTTTATAGGGAATTGTCTTCAAAAACTATTTAAAATCTATTTCCACAGATTGTAATGTCATTGTATCGGAAATTTAGGTACAACAACCTGTTAATTTTAGCAACAACCATTTTCTCAGAAGGCATCATTTTTAGCATCTGATTAGAAAACTGTCAGCAGAGGTCTGTGGAGATTATTCTGATTTCCTCACATAGCACTGACAACACTAGAAAGTTTGGATGGGAATAGTGGTCTGTATTGACTTCAGCAAACTTCCCCTGTACATTTGATATAGCCATAATTGTGACTATATTTTGTATGCTCTTCAATATCCATTCCTGAAAGGCAGTGGTGGTTAGTCAGTCATCCATCCCAAGCCTCTGAAGAGCTTTTTCTTGGCCCCTTACAAAGTGAAAATTGCTTTGAGGGCACCTCACTATATAAAGGATTAAGCAAGGAAGATATTGCCTTGAGACTGGATCTTCTGGTGACTATTTGAGTTTTAAGTATACTTAGCATCATAAGCTACTTGGGTGGAGACACTGTTTTCCTGCTTGTATAGCACTGTCCTTGACCCTTTTAATCAAGTATATTAACTTTACACATAATGACTTGGTTTGCATCTATGAAAAGCAGTTTCATTAACCAAATCAAAGCAGAAGACTGAAAACAAAAATATATTTGGCTGTGGCATTCTGGGGAATCATTATTTTGCCATATTTTATAACTTCATGCTCAAACCTGGGTGTTGCACCTTGATAATTTTTCTTAATCTGGAGACAAAGATAAAGAAATATACCAACTGAAAAAAAAAAGTTCTTTCTACTGATTTAGATTTTATTTTTTTTTATTGCCAGCTCTTCCTTTCACTTTTAGATGGCTATTGTTTTCTCCCATGCCTTTGCATTTTTACCTTCTTGTACCTTGACCTGTCTTCCATGAACCTGACGTTTATGGGACAGCCACCTAAACATATCTCTGTGACAAAGTATGCTTCAGAAAATTAATGGTTCTGATCGATCCAACCTGTGCAATTCCAGGATTGTTCACTGATCAGTAATGAACACCTGCAGGAGATATCATAATTTACATCATATCAAAGGTCATAACTGAACTTAATTATTTTTGGAGCTATTCCAGTGTAAGTCTACTTTTCCTTACATTCTTTATAAAATTCAAATCTAACTTTAAAAATTAGGACTACCTTATAAAGTCATGTGTGACAACAGGTTTAGTTAATTTTATTATCACTATATGCTGTCAGGGAATAATAGTGTACAAACATCAGTGTAAGACATCATAAATTAAAGACCCATTTGCATTATTTAACTTACTTCAGGGAAAAATCTTTCTTTTTTTCTGTTACACAAATACCAATCTTTATCAGAGAGGAGTATCAAGAATTTCCTCTGCATTATGTTTTTGAATCAGCTTTAATGTCTACATAGTAAAAAGGTTTAGTATTCCTCATAGATGAGCTTGAATTCTATCCTTCAAAAACTTGTAAGACTTCATGAAGATCGTTGTAAATGTGTTTCTCTCTTGACTAAAGCAAGAAACTGAGATAAGGGTTCCCATTGCTGTGCAAAGGTTAGATCTGACTGTGAGTAAATGCTTAAATCTTGTGACACTGGTATTCTGCTGACAAAGACAGCCTCTAGAGGTCGTGTAAAGATCTGACATTTCTTTTTCTATATTCTGAATGACAAAAAAAAAGTGCACCCTTTTTGTTTCAGATGCAAAATTTGTATAAAAGTGGAGACGTGAGAGCCATGAACCTGATGATCTTAATCTCACTTAAACTGAGAACTGTTTGGGATAATAAGGGTCTTGGGTTGCATTGCGCTTCTTTGGCCAAATTCCACCACAGAAGTTCTCCAGGACTCCAATCTATCTCTGAAGTATTAAGGAACATGCCCTCTAACAAATGAGCATTAACCTGATAGAATAAATAAGGAAATACTTAGCTTAGCTATATCTGGTTAAGTCTGTATTTTGCAATCTTAAATGCAACTTTACAAAGACAGAAAAGAAAACATTTAAGTAGAGCAAAAATTCCTTCTGTGGTCTGCCGTCAGTATATTACGGCATTAGAGATGTGAAGATTGCATTTCAGACCCATGGAAGCAGTGTAAGAAAAAGAATAAGTTAATGTGCTTATCTGCTCTTTGGAAAAAAACCCTTTTTCTAAACATTACTACCTCTAAAAGAAAGTGGTTTTCAGAGCGCACATGAGGAGGGCATCTGGCGGAGTGCTGTTCAGCAGCTGCCCTCTGCACTTTGTAGTGGTGTGGATGTTTCAACTGGAGATCAGCCTTCCCTTAAACATCGCTCTGAAAGCCAGCCCTTTGGACATCACCCGGCATATTATTCTGTTGAAGAATCTCAGTTATATTTTCCTCTCATTCTATTCTGATCTCGCTTTGGCTATTATAATAATGGTGGGTTTTGTGGTTTTTTTCTTCCTTGTGTTTTGATGACAAAAGTCATCATTTTTTGTTTCCTCTAACCTCTGCAGCGGTAAATGAACTTGGTATTTCAGAGTATGTTAAGAGTCATCTTTCTGGCACTTCTTTTTTCAAAAAAGAACAAAAAACCCCTGATCATTCTCAAATAGTAAATTCAATGACAGTTAATGTAACGACCATTATTTATCTCCGTACTGGAGAAATTGAGATGCCAGCAATCCAGAATCTCCTTTGCACCACAAGAGACTGATAAAACATTATAGTGAAACTTAAGAGATGGGTCTTTTAGTCTAGTATTTCTAAGCTTAGATCACATCTTAAGGTATTATATTTTTTAAAAGCAGGTTTTAATTACCAATTGACAACAAACAACATAAAGAATAAAAGGTGCTAATATATTTCAGCCTTTCAGTTGTATTTAAAATAAGTACAGGAGATACAAACATGTTTAATATTGAACAGAAACCTATTAAATTCATATAATGTGTTGAAACTCTGTGTTATTTTAAATGTTTTATTAAAGGCCAAGAGAGTCACAGATGTTGGACTCCTTTGGCTGGCTATCTGCTCATAAAATCAGGTTAGGTTAGGGTACAGGTAGTATTCCCCAAGTTCTTGAATGGAACTGAAGACATCCTGTAGTGTCTACTTCTTATGGTTTGGGTCATTAGTGGTGAATTCTGTCAAATATTTTAAAACTGGGACTCTCTGAAGGTAAGTCTTGCTAGTATTAAAAAAAATATGAAGAGATTTAGTCTGCTAAAGATGAGTTTGGCTGGTGTAAAGAGTTTTCATGTTGTGATAACCTGCATGTGTCCTTTGCAGGGGAGGAGCTCTGCACCGGTCTCATCTCGGGCTGTTCCTTGGACTGTTCCTTCGGCTTCCAGACTGACGTCCACAACTGTGAGATCTGTCAGTGCCGACCACGGCCTAAGAAGTGCAAACCCATTGTATGTGACAAGTACTGTCCCTTTGGATACTTGTACGTATTCTCATTCTGAAAGCATATTTAATACAATCCCTCTATGTATTGAACATAGGCAAAATCCAGGCATAGGTACTTGTTTTTACTTTGTGGCAAAGCAGGGAGAAATGTAGGAAAGATCATTACTTGATGTGAGTTTAAGGTATTCTTCAAGATGCATGTTGGTAAACAAATTAAGAAACAGCAACTAAAAAAATAGTGGTGGGTTATAAAAGCTAAGCAATGCTTAATTTTTTTTTAAGTATTTGATGAACAAGATGAAAAAGCTACTTACAAGCAATGTCTCTTGCGTGTAGCTTTTTGAAATTCTGTTTGCATGTTCTGCTGTGATACCTTCTCCTTTCATAGTCCATTTCTTTTATTCACATGATTTTCTATTATGTCAGGGTTTTCTTTTTAATATTGATATGACAGCAGACTAGTTTTAGTGAGACATTTCTGATAGCTACTTTGCAGAATTTGTAAAGAACAATACTGTCTCTTATTTTTTTGTAAATGTGTTCAAAACCTGTGCTTCTGGAGTTCTTTCTCCATGAAAGGAAATATTTACATTATTCATTCGTGGAAAAGAGGATGAAAACTGGGCACCTTTTTGGTTACACTGAAATTCCTTAGTAATCAATCTGCTGCCTTTGTAGATGGGTCTAAGCTATATTACTGCCTGTTTTTCGTAACAGTGTCATTTCTACCTCATGACAGCTGATCTTCAGATAATGTTTGTATGCAATTTATTTTCTTAGGATTTGCAGGGAAGTTTACTAATGTTGCGATTCTTAGTGTTTGATACTAATACTCCTTTAATTTCTGATTCATTTCAGAGTTCTGTTTCACACTTGTTCATAAATGCTGCAATTTTTTATAACAAAAACATGTAGTGTAGTATGTCCTTCTCTTAGTACGCAATTTTAAAAAAGTTCAGCGGAATCAAAATATGGTAGAACCTAAATGACCAGAGAGGTTACTAGTGACTTTTTTAAAAAAAGAAATCAAACTGTAACATAGTGACATTCTCACAGATTTAATCAGCTCTGCTGATAGACGATGCCAGTGAACAATTTATATTTTCTCCAGTTGTGCTGCCAAAGTTTTTTTTAAAAAAAAAAGAATGCCAGAATACCAGCCTTACACCTTCCTTTAATCTTCATGCTATTCTTAGCCACAGAGTAGTTTTCCACTTCAGTGAATATGCTGGCTGACCTCCCTCTTATTGCCCATGTAGCTCTTGCATTGTGCATGGTGCTAAACAGGAGGTGGCATTACATCAAACAAAAAGCAGATCCATATGCCACGAAACAATAATGCCACAGCTATGCTGCAATACACAGTCACACTCACACAAAAAAGAAGAAAAAAAATCTTTAAAGAGTAAGTTTGCCTTGAAAATATTGAGGCAAACACTGAGAAAGGATGCTTGACTTGTATCCTTGAGGCATCCTTAGTGTAATTTGAAAATACCTACATAACAGGAGTCCAGCAAAACACAGTAAAGTAATACCATTTAATATAATCCTGCATCTATTTCTTGCGATACAGAATCAGGCTTGCCTCTGGTTAAATAATAGAAGGTTTTGCAGGAAACAGCACCCATATTGTCTGTAGCAGGGTTGATAACTTAATGCTATCAGGGCAGAATCTAAGCCTTTTTTTCATCCACATGCTCAAGGAGCATGTGCATGCATGTGCGGAGGCAACTGGTCTGTACAAAAGTCCTTCCCGTTTACTCAGTGTGCTTGAATATTGTTCAGTTTGAAACAGGAAAAACGTTTTTTTGTTTTAATGTTACAGGTGCATAAATAAATTATTATTTTCAAGACCATTTGCTTTAGCCTATTCAAACATTTTAATACAGGAAAGCCATTAAGAAATACTTAATGGCTTTTGTCATTGCTGTTTTAGACTTATGCATAAATAACTTGAATATATTCTTGAACCAAGGTCTAGGTGTTTATTTCTGTTCAGCTAGTTCTATTATTTGACTTTTCTGCAGTATCTAAAGCAGGCAAGTTTGTTTCTCCTTTTGGTTTCTTTCAGTTTGCTACTACTGGTTTTCTTCGCTGGCAGTCCCAATGTAGATGTCACACTGAAGCATTAAAAATGTTTTTCTAATGCTGATAAGGATTGTTCTGAAATATACTTAGCAAAGTAGCTTACTAGTTAGGTTTTGGTTGTGTAAATGTGTAAAGTTTACTGTTACATTCTTTTAGTTTATTGTACAATACCTTTTCCAACCACGTGGATTTAGGAAGAAACACTCTCACATAATTAGCAGGTTTGTCTGGTTTGCTTGTATTAAACTAATTTTTGTTAGAGGACAAGGAGCAGTAGTTTTACAACTTTAAATGGAACGTAGTAGAGACCTTAATGACCTGTCAAGAACTGAATAGTTTTTTACCTTCAAAATTTTGAATCTTCAAGAAAAGCAAATATTATTTTAAGATAAGACAGTACTTCTTCATTCCTGGCAGTAATAGTCTGTATTTAAATCTACCTCGTAAGTGACCAGACCAGGTATAACTGCTAAAAAGAGTATTTTCTTTGTTCCTGTTTCCTTCCTTAGCTTTCAGTAAAGATGCACCACTTGCTTCTGCTTGTATATTTTTACTTTGCAGCTTCTGATTTTTACTTCCTTTTCTTAAGCAAAGGTTCTTCTGTACTGTTGTCTAATATGCTACTTTTAGTGTTGTTAATTCTTGAGTGGAGTTGGCTGTTCCATGTGAACTGAATTAATTAATGAATTAATGAACTCTGATTAATTCAGAAACTTGTTGGCCTATTTTGAGAGGTCCGACTGTCATGGTCTCTCTCATGAACTGTGAACTGATTTTCTAGAGAAAGTTCTAAACAAAGGAGGAAGATCCTTATGTATAATTGGAAGATGGCCTGCAGCAGTGAATTTGACCTGTGATGTTAAGGGTTATGCTCTGACACACAAATATAAATCATCAAGCATACCTTTTTGAGAAAAAAAATGAAATAGTTCTATTAGCTTTCGCTTGCTGCACTTTGTGAGATGTGCCTTCAATATTTTGGAAGGCCTTAAAGGAGAAATCTGTAAAAATGGGAAAGATAAGAGCCCAAGAATGCAGCCTAATATACTTTGCACCATAATAAACTGATTTTCTGAGTTTGAGTGCAACCTCTTGACCTATAGAGTCCCTTAGTTTGTGTGTACACAAAATCAAAGAGGGCTGAAGAGAAAAAAGATAGATGGGTCTAGTTTTATATAAAGGAATTTGTCAAATAACTTATTTTACTGGAATGCAAAACTTATTTTGCTGGAATGAATATTGTCCAGGAGATGCAGGAGTGCTTTAAACACAAAGGTTCTTAGTATTATGCAAGTATTTTTCTGCGTCAGTCATGTGCCAAGAATAATTCACTAAGGGATACAAATTTCAGGCACAAATTCCAGTGATTTTCTAAGCTCATGGAGGAAGCAGCCAGTGTCTAAGAAATCATGTGTTACTGTCACACAAGAGTTGGAAAAAGTTAAAAAAATAATAAGGATTAGAGTGTTGAAGAAGATCATAGAATCATAAAGGTTGGAAAGGACCTTAAGATCATCAAGTCCAACCTACAGCCCTACACCACCCTAACACTAAACCGTCTCCTGAAGTGCCACATCTGTTTTTTAAACACGTCCAGGGATGGTGACCCCACCACCTCCTTTGGCAACCCATTCCAGTGCTTCACCACCCTTTCGGTGAAGATGTTTCTCCTAATATCCAATCTAAACTTCCCCTGGCTCAACTTCAACCCATTCCCTCTTGTCCTATTGCTATTCACTAGGGAAAACAGGGCAACACCCCTCTCACTACAGCTGCCTTTCAGGGAGTTTTAGAGAGCAATAAGGTGTCCCCTCAGCCTCCTCTTCTCCAGGCTGAACAGCCCCAGCTCACTAAGCCTCTCTCCATAAGACTTACCCTCAAGTCCCCTAATCATTCTGCTTTTAAGACAGGCTGTATTTCCTGGATCTACTGGGGTTACTCTGTATACCTTTCAAATTTAAAATTTGTACATCTGATGAAGACGAAAATTACAGAGTAATACACTTCAAAACGGAAACTCAGATTGTCAGAAATGGAAAGTATCTGGAATTTAGTGAAAAGGAGGAAAAATGGTAGACAGGTTAAAGTTAAAAAGCGGAAATACTGGATCTTGCCATTTGAATCTATTCATTTGAAGTCCTAGATGTGATAAAATGGCACCTTGAGCAGACATTGACTCACAGGGTATCAGATCTGGACCGTTTAATGCGTTGTCCAGGCACTCCCCAGCCTGCGGCATGCTGTCGGCCCGCCGTACCGTCCCCCCTGCAGAGTTGTGTGAGGTCAGTGCAAACATCATTTGGATCAGGATTGCTCCATGGGCTAGCACTGAACCACACGGCTCATCTTCAAATAGAATGCATTATGAAAAGAATAATGTTCAGCTGCTCACACTCTGTTTGTTGCAGAGTAGTAATTTTTAGCCTACATTTAGTATAGTGTTCTACAGAGGAAAATTACAGATTTTTGTGTTTTCTGTACTTAGATAAGATGAAGCACACTCTTTCCTTTCTCTTTTTTTTTTCTTTAACTAGAGTGTGCATAAAACAGTTCTAATAAAAAATCTATGTAACAGAAGCATTTTACATACAACTGCAACTACAGGTATAGTATGATAGCTGGGAGTAAGATAAAGATGGGGAGGTTTTTAAGTCTATTTTAAGCTGATATCAGTGTTTCAGGAACCCTGTCTTTGGAATAATTTTTCCTTTGTGCACTTGAAAAAAAATGAACTTCCAACGTTTTTCAAGCTAATTGGAAAATAATCTTCAACTTTTATTCTGATTTTAAATATAGAATCTAATTTAATTATGCACAATGCTTGCCTATTTTTTTTAAAAAATGTTCATTTAGTAAGTCTTAAGATGATTATATTTTTTTAAATGGAAATGAGCACCCTAATGTTGCTACTCTCTGCAAAATATAAGAATAATTACACTGAATTAAATGAATAACATTTAAAGATAACTATGTATGTAACAGTTGGTGGTATAAATGGCTAAAATTGTCATAAGAACTACTCTAAGATCATTTCACTTAAAGTGTTATTTTAGTGCTAAAATTAGGTAGATTTGCAGATGTATACTACATCTGTTCGGTTCTTTACTGTCACTGTGCCAAGTGTTTTTCTGTAATAGAAAGCCTGATATGACTTCCAAGCCTCCTATGACCTATCAAAAGCATGGGATGTAATGGAGGACAAATCTATATTTTAATGTAATGTTTTGGTCACAAAAAGGAGACTAAAGAAACAAGTATTAAAATTATATTAGAGTGAAAAGGAGTAATCATCATGTTAGTGATTTTTTTTTTTTAACTTTCTTTAAAACTGTCAGATGTTAGTAATTGGAAAATCTTGAGTTCATGCATCTTCAAAAAAAGCAAAAGCCTTTCACAATTGTCTGAAAAAAACCTGCTCAATAGAGCTCACTGTTTGGAAGCTCTGCATGTTAATGGAAAGAAACATTTCTTTTGATATTTAACAGGCTGTGGTTACAGGGATTAAGGAGGAAAAAATAGATAGAAGGACAGAAGAAAGTCCTTCATTCTCCATCCTACTGTGTGATGATTTGGTTTCCTCAGCCTTTTAACTAAAAATTAAATAAGCTTTTCTAGATATTAATGTAATTTATTTCTTCCCCATTCCCCTAGATGTTCTTCTTTAACCTCCCATGTCTTTATTTGAGGGGGAACTGGTGTATATGGTGTATATTACATGTCTTTTGAGGAATGGCTGAGGGAACTGAGGTTGTTTAGCCTAGAGAACAGGAGGCTTAGGGCAGACCTTCTTGCCCTCTACAACCACGTGAAAGGAGATTATAGTGAGGTGGTTGTTGGTCTCCTCTCCCAAGTTTCTAGCGATAGGACAAGAGGAAATGGCCTCAAGTTGCACCTGGAGAGGTTTAGATTGGATATGAGGAAAAATTTCTTTACTGAAAGAGTGGTGAGGCATTGGAACAGGCTGCCCGGTGAACTGGTGTAGTAACCATACCTGGAGGAGTTCAAAAAACCTGTAAACGTGGCACTTCAGGATATAGTTTAGTGCTCATGATAGTGTTGGGTTGATGGTTGGACTTGATTATTTTCAGTCTTTTCTAACATTTATGATTCTACGATTTAATAGTGTAGTATTCAAAGAGAAATGTCAATTTCCTGATATGTTTTTCCCTATTTTAGTGAGTTCCTGTGTGTCTGCTACTTTTTATATGGGTTATTGGCATTCCACATGCTATTTTTCAAGTAAGCTTTGTGTCTGCTTATTTAACATTTTTTGAAATTTCTGTGTAGTTTTCATTTGCAAGAGAGGAAATCTACTATACTTTACCTATTGTTGCAGGAAAAAAGTTAACAATAATTTGTGTTATTAGACACAACTGATTCTTACCTACCCCTACAATTTCTTTAGTTTTAGAAGTTTTTCTTTCTACTTTCTTACTTGAAAAAAGAATTGATCATCAATAGTAATAAAAAGCACATATGTCTATATTATCTGCTATGATGTGAAAGTACCAAATGCAGAGATTTTGCCAGTCACATGGAGTGAGCAGATACCAGGGATGGAGTCCCATACAGCCCACGGACCCACTGAACCAAAGGGTGACAGTTAAGGATAATTTTCTTTACTTGATGAGTCACTTCTCTAGGGGTTGCTTTTGCTTTAACGATCATGACATGTAGATATTTAAAATGACCTGTTGACCTTTTACAAATTATTTTGGTCATTTAGGAAGAACAAGCATGGCTGTGAAATCTGTCGGTGTAAGAAATGTCCAGAACTGCCTTGTGGTAAAATCTGTCCATTGGGCTTCCAGCAGAACAGTCACGGCTGCGTTATCTGCAAGTGCAGAGGTAGGTATGAGTCCATTACCACCTCTAATTACAACTTGTTTACAAAGCAGGTGGAAGCTAGAGCAGAAGAAAAGGAATACTGCACAGAATATGTAAGAGTTGAAATACTCTAACTGGTGGGGGAGTCAGTTCAACTTTGATCAAAGGAGTGTGTTTTTTGCAGGTGTTTATCTATGTTCATCTTGCCTTCAACAGAAAGCCTCAGCTCCACTTTCATCTCCCACTACAGAGTCATAAAAGTCCGTTTGTTATGATTGATACAAATTAGATTAGGCTTTTAATAAGTAACTACTAGAAATAAAGTAGTTGAGGATTTATTTATTTTTTTCAGTAGCAACTTCTTCACCACAATCTTTTCTTTACAAACTCAAGTTTTGGATCTGATAGATGCCCTGTACACCACCCAAAATTAGAGTGCTGTTCCTTGGACACTTTGGTGGTCTCGAAGAACAATGAGTAGAGAGAGTAGGAGAAAGGGCTGGGTATTTTTAAGCAAAAGATTTCACACACACCACATCCCAAAATTGTGACCAGCAAGTTCAAGGTGGAGATTGAGATAAGATGTTCACTAGTTGTCTGCCTTAGTTTTGTACTGCTTTTAAAATGTCTCTTTTTGAAGACTTTTTCAGTGTGTGTTTTGTATTAGTCTGGATATCAGACTTCCTTTCTCATATCCACGTGTTGCATCTAATAATTTTTTGGTTATGCTCAGGCTTTCTCTGATCCTAATTGCTCTTCTGTGCTTATTTTCTTTGATTCTTACTTGGATGTATTGATTCCTAGCTAAAGAAAACTGAGTTTAAGTATTTTCCTATTCCTTTTCATAATGACTCCATTCTTAATTCTCTTAGAAGCTATTTTTTCTGCATTTAAAAAAAATATTAAATATAATAAGGCAAGCTATATAGGACTGCAAAAAAGTGTATGAGTTCCTGAAGTCACATTCCTGTAGTTAAAGGCAAACATTCAATCATAGAAATCAGAAGGATTTTCGCCACATGACATCACACACTAGAGACAATTTAACAAAACTTTAAGACTTCTAGAAAAAAAACCAAAAAGTGATGTTATAGATTTACCTTGCAGATAGAAGTTGAGAGAGATTTCACTGACATAAGCTGCAGTGTGTCACTTTTACTAGAAATAAAAAAATGTAAAATTAAACAAGAAAGGATGACTGCTGGAGTCCTGTCAAGACAGTTTTCATCTCTCATCTTGTCATTTGTTTCTATGTTTACAATCAACACATTTTCCCTGATTGTCGTGATGCTGTGATGGAATATACGCAAGGTGTTCTCCTAACTGTGCCGTAATTGCATCTTGGACTATAAGCAGATGCAACTCCTCAGTTGCAATTATGACTATGCACACTTTAAAGTGCTTTCCTTAACAACGATGGATTTTAAAACATGCACAAATATTTAGCAAAATAACTCAACCCCGAAGTAGTATTTATTGTTATTGTAATTATAAAAATACCAAGCCATGAATGTATCACCTCAGCATCACTTCATTAGCAACTTGCCCAAGAACAATTAGAGCAATCACTGGTTTGTTCTGGAGGAGCTGTGAGTCCTTGTTAAAATTCTGACCCAAAATCCCTACGTAAGAGGAAGGGATGGGTAAATACCCTGCCTGTGAATTAGCTCCACTTTCTAAATTGCTTCTGCCAGAAATAGCTTATGCTAGGATTAATAGAAGTAGAACTATAAAGTTACAGGGCTGGGGGAGTCCCTTGGAAAACTAAAAGTCCATTTCTCTGCCCCTGCATATAAGAGAGTGTATCTGGATAATTCTTGACAGATGTTTGTCTAAGATTTAAATTATTACGAATCTTCACTATCAAAAGACAAAGAAGAAAAAAAAAAAGAAACAAAACTAACCCTCTGTAAAATAATGTTTTCCTGTGGTTACCAATATGTGCATTTTAATTTTTTTTTTTTAAGATTTCTCTCTCCCTTTCTACAAATTGAACCAGTTACTTCTTGTCCATAAAGCAATATGCTCAGCAAACGTATGCAAGAGCTAAGCACCATTCCTTTTTAAGGGATTCCAACTAGAGCCACACAAAGTCTTTTTATTTTTTTTTTCAGGGGGGAAGGTGTATTAAATCAAATAAACCCAGTTGTTTTGGTCTCTCATCACAGTTCAAAACTGGATATTGTGCTTTAGCAGTAGCAAAAAATCCTAATTAATAGGAGTTTTCAATGTAATTTTACAGTGCTCCTGTACTTGTATCTTCGATTGAATTTGCCTTCTTTGTACAAGTGTCACATCACTGACACATTTTTACTTGTGAGCTGCTATAATCCGAGATTATATAGTCCTAGTTATCCAGTTATTTCTGTTTTGTATTTGGGCATTTTGTTTCTTCTTTAACTATTATCTTTTCTACTAATTTCAATTAAAATTTAAAAGTGAAAGTAATCTCAGTTTATGAAGTTAATTTTGAGTAGTTGCCTATAGTCTTGGTTTGCTTCTCCAAATTTTGGAGTGTATTTTACAGTCTTTCAGGAAAAAAAAGTTTTCTTACATCAGATACTTTGTTTAGCAAGGAAGGGGAAGGGTATTATTATCTAAGACTTCTGCATGTCAATAAACATTTAATGTAGGACAGTATTCCAGTGATATTAATTAAAACAGAAGTTAATAATGTGATACTGAAGTATAAAAGTGTAGTAACTGAATGTAAATTTTTTCATAGTATATCTGTTCATTCAATAGGACAAAGTGTGTTGTAAGAAGTACTTTATCTGTATGCCATGTCTTTTCTTTTTAATTCACAAAATGGAATACTAATGTAATTTGTGTATTGGGTTCTTCTACTGATAACATGCACCAAACTAACTTCATATCACAGCTGAAGAAGTGCTGACCTTTGTGTTACTAAAAAAAACCCTCAATTTATTAAAATTATGTATAAACATTACTACTTTCCATACTGCACCCTTTTTTCAACAGAAAATTAATTAAACAACTTAATACAAATAACCTTATATATATATATATATGTCAGCAGAACATGGTTGATGCACTACTGGCTTGAGGGAGTGTTGGGGTCTAAATTCACTCTGCTGATTAACAAATAATATATTGAGGCTGAATCCTGCAGCACTTAAATACCTCTTAAGATACAAATGAGACTTTTTATCCTCTGCAGACCAACTGCTTGCAAGTTTTGGCTGAATGCAAGTAATGCAGCAGTCCAAGTTACTGTATTCTCATCTTAGTACAAGCTAGGAATGAGGGATAAAATTGTAAGAGCAGTTATCTTCCAGACACCTCATTCATCGTAGCAATGTAAACAATTTCTTCTAGGTGTTTTATGAAATACTTGCAGTATCTAGCATGACCGTATTAGAACTTGCTTGTAGTTTTTTGTCGTTCATGGTATAAGACCATCCTTAGCTCTTGTAAATGCTTTTATATTCTGCTGCTATTACTCATATTATAAGTAATCTAATACACTGTAATATTTATATATTTCATCTTAAATATGGTTTGTGCTTTTTGCCATTTCCCTCCACTGCATTTCTCTTTTATCTGATTTGGCCAGTACTGAATTTCTGTATGATTAAAAACCGTATAGGTGCAACAGAAAGAGGAGACATTTCCCAAGGAAATACATTCCATTGCATTCCACCATCCTCTTCAGTATGCCTTTTAATTTTCATTTGTGTTGGTACTTTATTTCTAAGCAAAAGTCATAGAATTATCACTTAATTGATGTTATATCTGCTTCAAAAATGAATGCAATCCAGGCATGAAGTTGGTATGTTTATTTTCATAAGCAACACATGCTGATCAGGATGCTTTTCCCTTCACTTCTGTGCAGAGGCAACAGCTTCTCTTATGCCTGCAGTTAAGACAGGCTCTTGCCTGTCAATGGACGGGCGCCGACACGAGAACGAGGAGAGCTGGCACGACGGCTGCCGGGAATGTTACTGTCACAACGGGCGGGAAATGTGTGCCTTGATCACCTGCCCCGTTCCGAACTGTGGCAACCCCACCATACACCCAGGGCAGTGCTGCCCATCATGTCCAGGTAACATGCTTTCTTCTGTACGCTCGGTAACTGGGTTTCATTTCACATGTGTTTTGTTTCCTAATACACGAAAATAATCTCATTCGTCATTCAGTAATATATATGGAAGTTTCTATGCCCAAATATAACATTAAGATTTCAGATGTGAAAAATAAGAAGTTAAATATTTTAAGGTTAAGCATGTTTTGGGTCCTAACATTTTCATTTTTGACACATTGAAATCTTTAAACTAGAAGAAGTTTCTAGTTTGTTAGCTATAATAGCAAATTTATATTCATGTATAGTTTTGTTACCCATAATAAACAAAGGAGATGACTGAGAAAATTTCCAGAAAATAATTAGTATTGCCTTTGTCACGGTGAGTTAGAATGTCATTGCATAAAATGTAATATGTTGTGGCAGCTGAAATAAAAGACTGTTACAAGGTAGCAGACCAGCTACACAGTTTAGGTAAATACTACTGAATTGCATAGGTGGTTCATAAATGTAAGCAATAGGAAAAGCTTCTCTTAAGCAAATCTGTGAAAGATGAAATAATTCCTTGAAAGAAGAAATACATAAGTTCTTTATGAATAGACTAAGATCAGACAGAGTCAGGTTCCTTGAGTTCCACTGATCATAAATAATTGGCCAAGAAAGCCAACCGTATCCTGGGATGCATCAAGAGATGTGGGACCAGCAGGTCGAGGGAAGTGGTTCTGCCCCTCTACTCTGCCCGTGTGAGACCCCACCTGGAATACTGCGTCCAGCTCTGGAGCCCCCAGCACAACAAAGACATGGAGCTGTTGGAGTGAGTCCAGAGGAGAGCTACCAAGATGGTCAGAAGGCTGGAGCACCTCTCCTACAAGGACAGGCTGAGAGAGTTAGGTTTGTTCAGCCTGGAAAAGAGAAGGCTCCAGGAAGACCTTATAGCAGTCTTCCAGTACCTGAAGGGGGCCTTCAAGAGGGCTGGGGAGGGACTTTTTATGGGGACCTGTAGTGATAGGATGAGGGGTAATGGGTGGAAGCTGAAAGAGCGTAGATTTAGACTAGATATAAGGAAGAAGTTCTTTACCTGGAGGGTGATGAGGCAGTGGAACAAGTTGCCCAGGGAGGTTGTGGATGTTCCATCCCTGGAAGTGTTCAAGGCCAGGCTGGATGGAGCCTTGAGCAACTTGATCTAGTGGGAGACACCCCTGCCATGGCAGGGGGGTTGGAAGTAGATGATCTTTGAGGTCCCTTCCAACCCAAATCATTCTATGAAACAATAGTTGTGTGTCTTCTACATGGCAATGTCATACAGCAAAGGACACAAACACTATTCTCCAGAAAAGTGCTACAAATGTGAAGAGAAGCTCACTTTGTGAGCCTCAGGCTGCCTAAGTGACTAGAGGAGCTGCTATCCATTTAATTTTTTTATGTCCTTAACTACGGTATTTGGAATAGGCATCTTTATAATTAAGTAGAAGAGTGGTTGAGAGATGCAGAGTCATTACCTCAAAGTCACTTTTCTAGCCCCAATTTTTCAGAAAATGATAGTTTTCTCTTGGAATTCCTGCATTACAGATAGGTTTGATTTTTTTTTCTGAAATGCCAAGAATGCTTTAAGCTATCTTTGATTTATATTAACCAACATTTATTCAGACTAATTCTCAAATTGTTTCTTACTTATATTTTTCCCTTTTTCCATGATATGCAGGTGATGTAAAGCCAAAAGGGACTTAAAGTCAAAAGATCTTCATTAAGAATATGGGTGGTTTTGTTCCTAATATTTTTAATAATAACAGAAATTATTACTCTTGGGTACATTTGTTAATCATTATAGTGACAGCTGATTTTGCCTGTCTTCCAATTCTGTTTTTTCCAGATGAAATAATTGTGCAGAAGCCAGAGCTCACCAGTCCATCGATCTGTCATGCTCCTGGTGGGGAATACTTTGTAGAAGGAGAGACATGGAATATTGATTCTTGCACACAGTGTACATGCCACAGTGGACGTGTCCTGTGTGAGACTGAAGTCTGTCCGCCTCTTCTTTGTCAAAACCCTACCCGCACACAGGACTCCTGCTGTCCACAGTGCCCAGGTATATGTTGACAACCACCTTTCATCAGAGTCCTTTCTTGATCCTAGAATGTACAATGTGAATATTGAATGTTTCAGTATGTGCGTAGTTGGTTGTTGTGGTGCCTTTGTTCTTTAGCAGTTTGGAGTCAGAGCCTGCAGTCTTCGATTTCAGCTGCAAAACGTGACTGCGTGCAAGAGATATCTTATATGCAAAGGGGAGTTGTGGCCCTGAGTCTGAACATCTTTGAAGGCAATCTAATAATGCAAGGGTTGCACGAGAACCAGAATCTTTACTTGGAAGCTTTATGAAATATGCACTGGCTCCTTTACGGAAACCTGCGGGATTAGAGAAATTCTGAAAGTAGCCAGAGTGCTACGCAGGCACAGGCTTGTTTCTTTTCCTTTCTACATGCCTTGGTTTCTGTCAGCATTTTTATTACTATCTTGTCTGTTTGGCATTTGGTCTTAAAAATACTTCTGTTTTCTTTTACCTTCATCTGGTATGATTTGAGAGTGACTTGAAGGCAACTGAGTAATATCAAAGCATTCCAGCTCAGCAGGTGTGCCAGATTCCTCACAGACTGCCTCACAGTGTCAGGAAGGTAACAGGATTTGCTTTCCCCCGAGGACAGAGGTGCAATTATAAATGAATGTGAATTACTAGTTTACATAGCAAGTGCAGGAGTTTATTGCAGAGGAAATTTATTACATATCTGTGAACGGTATGTAAACTCACTGAGAAAATACTTGCCTCAATATAAAACAATATCTAGCCATGTTATGTTGGAAGAAAAAATTTAGGTTTTGCCATTTCTTCTGCAGAGTGTTTGTTTGGCTTTTGGGTGTTTTTTATCTGACAAAATATTTTCAGTAAAATAAGTCAGCCAGTTCTTCTGACTCCCTTTTTCTCATTTTTAATAACAGTCAATATTTTCTTAATTTCAAAATACTGTCTGGAGGAGCTGATCTTTCCTCACTGGCTGTGTAAGAAGCTCAGACTCTTAACTTACACAGATTGAGAATCTGATTTGAATGCTCTTATGAATCCTTTTTTTTTTCCTTCTCCTTTTCTTATACGTTCTCTGCAGAAACATCCATATTTCTTGATCCATAATGTCTGTTAACACACAACGTCATTGCAAATATAGGTCTTCCCTGTGTGTGGGCATGAGAATTAAAGCAGATCCATTGGCATCACTCTAAAAACCAATCAAGTTCCATTTGTTTCTCAACAGCTTGTAATTAGCTCATGTAAATCCACTAGTGAAGATGACAGCGTCATAGTTACTTTTCACTTTGCATCATCCAAGGATTTGAACTGACATGGCAGAAGCTAGGATTCAAGTTTTAGATGTAAAATTTAGTCTCTCTAATTTAAGGTGAATTCCTATGTACCATTCAGTTCAGAGCATTCTGAGGGGCTGCTTCAGATGATGATTGGTTTTTCACTTTTCTGTCCTTTTTTCTGGTTTTGGGTTTTGTTTGGGTTTTGGGTTTGTTTGTTTTTTTTCAGTAAGCTCAATAAAGGTCTACATAAATTTTATTATAGACCACATCAGGAGAACATCATCACACATAACGACTGAAGAGGTGTAAGACTCTCTCCTCCTAGTTCTTCTGAAGTAGTGAGCCGATGTGCTGCAATTCCGTAGTGTTTTTCAAGAGTGAACCCTCCACTGAGGGAATATGAAAGAAGTTAGCTAGTGTAAGTTAAATAACCTAATCTGTTTATATTTACAGATGAGCCCCTTCAGCCCTCTTCATCAAGCAATGAGAGCATGCCCAGCTATTGCAAAAACGATGAAGGAGATATTTTTCTGACAGCCGAGTCCTGGAAGCCCAATGTCTGCACCAGCTGCATTTGCATGGATGGTGTGATTAGATGCTACTCTGAGTCTTGCCCACCAGTATCCTGTGAGAGACCTGTTTTGAGAAAGGGACAATGTTGTCCTTACTGTATTGGTGAGCACATAAAAATAGTTGATAACTTGCTGTTTCCCTTCCTGGAAATAAGAAAGAAGTTTTATTTACAAATTAAGATATTTTTTTCCCTCCTTTGGGGAGATGCAATTTGTGCGTTCAGTTGAACTGGAGAGTGAAATTTGTACAGGTAGCTTTGGGAATCATGATTTGTGATTTTGAGGCAGAAGTGCAGGAAGATATAAATGTAATTTGACTAAGAGACTTGAGAGGACATTCTCCAGAAAACTTAGTAATACACTTCACTAGATGAAAACACTACATAAAAAAGTTTTATTTAAAGGAAGAACTGCCAAGTAACACATATGTTATATCAAGATACGTGATAATATGCAGGAAACATTAATTACGACTGCAGAAGATAAGGTGAAGCGTTATGAAATTTCACAGAATGGGGAAGTGTTAATAAGGCATCTAAATTAAAATACAGCAAAAAACAAGAGGTCCATTAAAGATAGTTATAGAAGAGGCACGTTGCCCTTAGAACCCTAAGTAGATTCCTGTTGGGGGCATTTTGAGCGGAAAGCACTATGCTACCCTGTTACTACTTTCTCAGCATAGTTTGCATACAAAATGGGGAGAATTTAAAGTTTCTTTGACAACTGTTTTTCTGAAGCCTTTTTTTTTCCAGTGATTGATTTTGCAACCATAAAGATCAGTTTAATCCAGAATACAGTTTTACATTCATAAAATACAGAACGTATGCAAAGTTGGGCAGTCAAACGGATAGAATCAGAACATGAGCTTTAGAACTGTACTGGAGAATTCTTGCCAGGGAATGAGGGGATGTGCCACAGGGACTAGTGCCATGAGCTACAACAATTCAACCTCTAAACTTTGTGCCTATACCTTGCATGTCAGGTGCGCACACACATACGTGTTAGCTCATGCATATGCTTATTTTGCAGATTCATGTCATTGGCAGGGTTCATCATAGTAATTTCTGCCTCTAAGCAAAAAAGGTAGTGAAAAGCTAAGATGAAAATGAGGTGCTGCTTGGCTTTTTGAGGTTCTGCTGTATAGTTTCCTTTTCATTATCTATAAAGAGCTATAGCAGCAAAAAAAATATGCTAGGCTAAGCAATTCATTACTGTCTTCTGAGTGAAGTAGAAGGTATACTGCAGATCACCTAAAAGGCTTCAGTGGGATGCAGAATTTAAAAAGTGGTGTATTGAATACTTAGGCAGAAAGTGTAGCGCTACTTTAAGGTGTTTTCCCAAGACCTACTTGCTTCATCAAATACAAGTCCCTATTATGTACTGTGTCAAAATTTGTCTGAAAAGTGGTTCATTTTACAGCTCTCAGTCTTTGGCAAAGGTGTTCTGGAGCCTCTCTTTTTGAGGGTTAAAATCACACCAATTTCCAATTTATATAATCTTAGCCATGAAAAAAATGTCCTGAGTTTGGTTATTGCCTTTTTCCTAGGGTTTTCTATTGGTGTAGTTACAGGGAATGATCAGATCCCCTTCAAATCTTTTTTTTCATTATAAATAGTCTAAGCACTTCCAGTTATGTCACCTGAGAGTTGCTTCATCTTTTCTCAGCATCCTGTCTAATCTTTTCTTCGAGTATTCCAGACTGAGTTCATCTTTCTTGAACACTGGTAATTAGAAAAATAGGTAATTTTGATTTTTTAATTCGTTAAGTAGATTTTACAAGAAACAAGAAGGAAGAGGAACAGTTAGAAGTATGAAGCAGTTAAACAAAAAAAAATCAACTTTTCTTAACTTTCATAGCACTTTTGAGATCATTATTTTGTGTCCCAGTCATCCATCCTCTAGCCTTTTGCATGAGGAAAATTAGGATAAACAGCCCATGCTAATTACGTAGAAATTGCACTTTTTTCACACAGATTTTCTGGAAGATGTTAGAAGGGTCTTTTAATTAAAACTGGAATTTCTTTGTAACTATTGTTTCACTTCAGTGTTCAGGGAAGAAATCAGATTTGTGTGTAATTGACCACTCCAGTGTGCGACCTCACTGCTCGTTTTCCTTCAACAGAAGACACCGTTCCAAAGAAAGTGGTCTGCCACTTCAGTGGGAAAACGTACGCAGATGAGGAACGCTGGGACATTGACAGCTGCACACACTGTTACTGCCTGCAGGGTCAGACCCTCTGCTCCACTGTCAGCTGCCCACCCCTCCCTTGTGCTGAACCCATCAATGTGGAGGGAAGCTGCTGTCCCATGTGTCCAGGTAAGGTGATGTGACGACCCAGATGATGGTAACGCTGGTTTTCCAGGACTGCCGCTAAGGTTTTTCTTAGTTGATTTTCAAACATCAGTCCATGTTTGAATGGTATCAAGAAGGCAACAGACATTTAGACTTCAGGAAAGCTAATATTCTTAACAGGTAGGCATATCATGCAAATATGTAGTTTGAATTTTACATATTCTGAGAACTGTGAACTCAATAAGTTGCTTGCCCCTGCCCTGTCCTTTCACAAGGTTATGGAAAAACACTTGTGAAGTAGGAAAATGAATATTCTTACATCTCTTCAGATTCTGTCAGTGATTAACATTTCTGTCTCTTTGTTACTTGTCACATATTGCACTGCTTTATTTATCGTTTTAATTTGGCTTAAAAGTAATATGAAATTTCATGGCTATGGACACAAGGGACATAAGAATTACATGTGGTTTTTTATGCTAGTCCTGACATACTTCTGCAGGAGTTTATCTTACTTGGTCAGCTGGTAACTACTTCCAGCAGGATGACTGGGGTTATTCAGCAGTAGCCCCTTTGCAATTCTCCTGCTTTGAGAATTACAAAAACAATGAAGGCAAAGAAACCAGTGGTGACAGTTTACATACCAGGTGGGAAGATACAGCCTTCCCTTGGAATTTTTGTTGTTTAGTATCGCAAAGGAATAAGACTGTAGTAGAGCGTATTTTGAAACAGCATCTTCAAAAGCACTATCATCCCATTCACATTAGTATAATGATAATGGCAGCAGGCATGTACCCTGTATACACTATGAGATGTGTTTTAAAACAACATCACAGACTAGTAATGGTGAAAATTTTGAAAAAAATGAAAGGATTCACAGAACTAAAGCATGGCACATGGCCAAGTACATTTCCTGATTTAAGAGCAGAACTGGGAAGTTAAGCAGCCTGTAATTTGTGAAACACGTTTATGTCATTTCAGAGATGTATGTACCTGAACCTACTAATATACCCATTGAGAAGACAAATCATCGAGGAGACATTGAGCCAGAAGTACCAAACTGGCCAACACCGAGTGAAAATGACATCATTCACATTCACAGAGGTAAGATCTGATATAAACTAGGCTAACTTAGGTCTGTGTTTTACTTCTTCTATTCAGGCAGCATCTGTGTAAAGCTTTGAAAAGGTCATTATCTGAGAATATACTTCAGTGCAGAACTCTTACATTAATTTTGTTTTGAGTAAAGATGACTCAGTCTATTAAATTATATGTATGCAGTCTCATCTCATCATACCATTTTTGCCTTGGAAGAAACATCTGTGATGGTATGATGGAGTTCTACAAAATTAAGAGTACAATAAATGATGAATGAGGAGTGATTGCCCAGTGTCTTTTCTGATAAAAAAACCTAGAAAGCAGTCTGTTGTAAGGCTACTGGAGTTGATACACCTTCAGTTGATCAATTTGACATTCTTATATTGATAAACAAAAATGGGAATATATGTGCTACAACTTTCACAGATATCATAAACAAATGTCAGAGTTAAAAAAAAAACACTTCAGGTATAATCACACAGAGCTAATAAAGTTGTCTAAGTACGAAAATCCATGTTTTGTTTAAAACTGTGCTGAAATCACTGTTACAGGGTAGGGGAAACACTCCATGACAGTCTTTATTAACCTTATCTAATTGAAAGACTATCTAAACTTGTACATATATATTTCTTTTAAATCTAAGAATGATCTCATAGCATATTATTGTTCAGAGAAAGGATACATGAAATGTAATTGCTTTACAAAATTGTAAGCATATACTTTTGTAAGTACAGCATTTTCATTTCTCACAGACATTAGTAGCTGGTTTGCAACTATAATGTCTGGGGATTATAAATACACACTGCAAACAGTGTAGGAATGTTGTATATGTTATTGAAAATTACCATTCTTTGCAATTACATGCAAAACTTGATACTGTCTAACAGGTTGCCAACAGTCCGTTTTCACAGGCTGAGTGGTGCAAGTATTGTAATATGTTCTTAACATATTACAAGCATGAACACATCAGAATTGTCCTACCAATTTTTAAAAGGAACAAAAAAGGAAATTCATCCTATGACTTCCAGGTTTTCCTCAGCATAGAAACACAGGCTGATTTAATTTATTTTTTTTTTTTTTACAACTGGAAATTTGGTTATGATTAGATAAGATGATGTGAACTCAACTGAGCTAAGAGGTTACTGTCAGACTTGCTTGTAATTGTGCTTTAAATTCCATCCCATTTCCTCTCTTTTTGCCAGCCTTTTGCCAGCTAAGATAGTCACGATACGATATACTAGACTGAGACTTCCATATTACAGCCTTCTTTATGGTCAAGGCCTATTTATAATTACCAACAAATGTCTTTCAGACATGAATCATCTCCAGGGAGAGTACAGAAGTGGCAGTGGACCGCACCCTAGTGAAGATGCATCGGTTAGCTCTGTTGCCTTGGTGACAATTCCAATCACGATAGCACTGTTACTGATCATCGTCCTTTTGCTCGTCAATCAGAAAAAGCAGTGGATTCCAGTGTCCTGCTACAAAGCTCCAACAAAGGTGTGTGTTTATGTCTGTTTCCAGGCTTGCACTTTTTGGAAAACAAGATTAGCTAGAATATTGTGTAGGATGCAATTGAGTTCGCATCATGTGAACTCTCTTCGCTTATTTTCTCCTCGTGTCTTAAAGCATTTTCTACCAGTCAGTCTGTTGGCGTTTAGTCTTTTAAATTATTTTTTTCACTACAAAGTGAAAAAAATTCCTTCTCCATACAGTAATGAGTTGTCACTAGATAAAAATCAAGCTCAGCAAAAATTCTTTTAAACAATCCAGCTCTGTATGTGTGTAGATAAATACATGCATTTTTCTAACCTGCAGCTAAACTCATAAGAGGATATTTTTTGTTTTTTAACTTCCATCCAATTTAAAAGTGTTGCCCAACATCAGGACCTGTATGTACTACTAGTCTTTATCATGTTTTGTAATAACTGCGTCATATGCTTCTCAGACTAATATTTTAAGAGCGATCTCGGGAAATATCTGCCAAGTATTTTGAGATTATTGAAAAAAAAAATAAAGAAGAATCAAGTAGCTTGGAAATGAACAGAGAAAAGAGCATTGTTTTCTTCTGAGTAATAGTTCTATGAACAGACTTAAGCCCTTACTCCATATTCAAATGCCATTTATGTAAGTTTCCAATTTACTCCACTTATACTTCCTAATTCTAGTCTTTGTCCATTTCTAAAAGCTTATAAATATAGTCAGAGCACAGAGTTGAATTGAATTATATTTAAGTAGGAAGCATGAATCGGTATTATTCTAGTTTCAGTCTTCCAAGACAAGTAAGAAATACCATTTTCTGAATTTCTTAATGCAGCATTTAAAAATCCATTTTTAACATTGATGGATGTACTTGTAAACTCTTAGAAAGGCCGCTTTCCGTACAAGTCCTGTGCAACAAAACAGCTGAAGCTGAAGTGAAAAATCACACCTTTCTAACTGTGGAACCATACTCAATAATTCTACATACTTTTTTACTTGTGGAAGAAAATTTTCCTCAAACACTTCTATTGCTGAAACATCATTTTTTCAGTGTCATCTGTGTGCTAAGAAAGCTCACTTAAAGACACACACAGATTCAATGCAAGACCATGGATATACTGAAACTCAGATTTCTCACGAGGGTCTTTGTCATAAATGTGTCTTTCCTAGTAATAAATTTGGACAAGTCTGATTTGGCTTATAGTCTTTCTGTTCTAAATAGTCCAGCCATTTAGTAAAGAACAAATTGACAACTGTGCATGAATCCTATCAATACCAAAAGAAAGATGATAGAGAAGATGTTTAAAATGAGAGAAGGTCAGTGAGCCTCAGGACTTCTGTGGGAATGCAGTCCACAGACTTTTGAACAGTGAAATGTAAAACATTTTGAGTGTAGCGCTAACAACACTAAGGTCACAGGTTCGATTCCCGTTCAGTCCCCATGTGTTGCCTGATCTAGTCGAGAGGTGGCGTCCCTGGCAGCAGGGAGGCTGGATTAAAATGATCTCTAAGGTCCCTTCCAGCTTAGGCCATTCTATGATTCTATGATTTTATAATAATGTTTTGTAACAGTTACCTGGGTTAAAAAAAAAAAAATTGTTAAGGGTTACTGAATGTAGTTCTTTTTTAAATAAAAATCCTTCAGATTTTCTGATTTAAGTCTTGGAAAAAGAAGTTACATTAATGAAAAGTGGAATTTTTCACAGTGTGAGCACGAATATGCACTGACACTAACTTCATAAGTATCCAGAGAGTGGGCTTACTACCTGTCCTCCTTCATGCTTAGCCCATAAGCATTTAAGGTAGCGTGCACCCAGCATTGTTTCACCTTTCTCTCAGCTGCAGATTCTTCCCGTTGAAGGATTCCCAAACAGAGGAATAGCAGGACTGGAAAGCCAGTATACATAGCTCAAATCTTTCTTTGAGCAATATGTGCATTTATGCTTGTGGATCAATACATACTCAAACCCTCACTCACATTTGCCTAAAATTAAATCCCCTAATCTACATTTATAAGCAAGTAAGACAACTACCAAGTGCCACATTAACGCTGGCATCTCTGCACCAACACGCCACTTTGCAAGGGTGCAACGCCTAGCAAATACTAGATAAAAGGTGGATGATTCCTAATTAAGGAAGTAATAAATGAACAACCTCAGAAGGGAATATAGAAGGGTTCCATAGGACACGCTGTGCCAGGAGGTCTCTCCCATTCTCTTAGTGGAACTGTAACCAGGAACAAAATATTCTTGAAAACAATTATCAATAAAGAGGCTATTAAAGTCTGTTGCACTTTTGGGGCAACAAGGTTAAGCCCTCGCATGGTGCTAGACTGACAGAGAATAGTTTAACCAGTCCATTTGGGATATGAGAATGCCAGAGCTCCTTTCAGAAGATGAAAAACGGTGACTCAGCAGAGTGTGTTGGTCTGATTTTGTGCCTGGTATAGGCCTTTACCAAGTTTAGCAAAGTCCGGAGGCTTTCATCACGGATTTTATTTTATTTTGTACTTATGGACTTGAACCACAGAGACTTTTTTAATTATGTGTGGAATACAGTTTAAAAAATAATAAATAATAATTTACTCAATATTCCCTTTCTGTTTTAACAGCCTTCTTGCCTAAACAATCAACTGGTATATGTGGACTGCAAGAAAGGTACCATGGTCCAGGTGGACAGTTCTCAGAGGATGCTAAGAATTGCAGACCCAGATTCAAGATACAGTGGATTTTACAGCATGCAGAAACAGAACAACCTACAGGCAGATAATTTCTATCAAACAGTTTGAAGAATCACACCCTTACCAAGGATTTGAGAGAGAGAGGGAGGGACTAAGTCTGCTATTAAAATAAAACTAGAATTGTGCACTTGCTTAGTGGATTGTATTGGATTTGTGACTACATGTACAGCTCTAAGACCTTACTGGGATGAGCTCTGACTCCTGCAATGTGCCAGAAAAAGCATTCCCACTTTTCCTTGAGATAACTGACCAAGTGTTTTCTTAGAACCAAAGTTTTAAAACTTGTTAAGATGTATTTGCTTGTAACATAGCTCTAGAGGTTTTTTGGGAGGGGGAATCAGGGGCTAGGGGTAGGCAATGAGGTTAAAGGAAGCTTCAGAGAAGAAAAGCTGGTCAGGCTTGACTGGAGAAGAAAATTAATAAAGCGTACGGCCAAGCAGCAAGATAGTGGTTCTTCTTGTTGCTCTGAAACTTCATCTGTTGCAGCAAAGCCTAACCCCAGGTGAACAAAATACGAAAAGGTCTGTTGTTTTCTGTTTTGTTTTTTTTCCAGCTGTTGCTACAGTAATATACTCCTAGAACAGAATTGGTCACATCACAGGTGTGGTGTAGCTGCAAATATTTTTCTATATGATGAGAAGCTGCAGTAGTTAATGAAATAGCAAGGAAAAGATTATAGCAGAAAATAAAGGGTGGGTTTATTAAGGATGTACAAAATAATACCTTGTGCTGCTTTTTGGTTTTATTGTTGTTTTCTTCAAAGCTGATTGGCTAGATTAGCCAGACTTCAGCAGAGTTAGCAAATGACTGAGGCCTAAGTAATTCCTGATATGAGCACTGGATCTTCTGACAGCAGTATTGAAGGAAGGAAGGAAAAGTCAAGAACACCATGCAGTTCCAGGGGCTTTTGTTTGTTTTTGTCTGTTGTGGTTTTGTTTTGTTATTTTATATCAATCTCTGGTTGTTCATACAGGAGAAGGAAAAATATTTTTGTTGGACAAAGCTCTTGCTTACAAGAGAGTAAAAAAGAGACTGTTTTAAGGTTGTTTTTTTCCTGTTGATGTTCTTATTTACTGGTATGCAGATTTAGAAACTACTTCCATGCTAGGAAGCTGCTTAATTTTAATTGTATATTACTCAAGCACCTTTTTTGAAGCTCAGAAAAAAAAAAGGAGATCATGCTTCTTTAAACTTTAGCATTATAGGAATATTTATGTAAATATAATTATGCTAAAAACAACAAAAAGTATTTGTATGTTTGTGTATATATATGTATATACAAATGCATGTAAGTATACATATGTATATATACGTGCATGTGTATATACACTATACATATATATACTGTATATATAAAATGCTATGTATACAGTATATATTTTTTCTATTTTTTTTCTTGTTGAATGTATTTTTATCTGAGAGAGATTTTACCCAGAGCAGAAACAGATAAACAGGCATTCCATATCAACGCTTAATCACTTGTGAGTTTAGGAGAGACAAGAAAAGAGCATCTCATTCTACCTACAGTTTGATTTGATTTGAAAGTGTTTGTGTGTGCGTGTGTGTGTGTGTACACTCTTGTGTTTGCGTGTGTACAGTACGTGCACGATTATAGCAGTAAGCGTTGCTCTTGCTACATTTCAGGGTGTTTCTTATTTTTCTTTTCCTGCTTAGCCTTAAAAAGGCTTTTTAATGAATGCATTGGCTAGAGACACTGATGACAATATACATGCAGCACTAATCAGCTCCATAGAATAACACCATTGGCTCCTGGATTTTTTTTTTTCTTTCTTTTTTTTTTTTCTTCAAACAATTGTTTGAAACAACTACTGGAATATTGTCCACATTAAGCTGGAAGTTTGTTGTAGCTTGCCTCATTTATAACTCTGACTGTATAATATGATGTTAACTTTCCAGACAGGTCTTGGCACTTTTATACTAATTACCCATTTGTGCATTGCCTTTTTTTCTTTTACAAATGCTTGTCATAAGAGACACAGATACCCAGTATGCTTAATGTGAAAAGAAAATGTATTTTTTTGTAAAGGAACTCTCAAGTATTGTTGTAAATACTTGGTCAGAGGTTGCTGAATTTTAAAACTGAAAAAAAAACTAATTTATTATTATAATGACCTAATTTATTAATCTGAAGATTAACAATTTTTTTGTTTTAGAATATCAAAAAGGTGTTCTAGCTGTTTGCATCAGAGAAAAAAAATAGGTGTATCATTAAGGGTCAACATTTTTTCTGCTTTATATAACTTCAGTTTTCAACCACCAGTAAGAAAAAATGTAGTCTCCCCAGTGTTTTGTACTCAATCTGATATTGAAACAGAAATGTTTCTGTCCAGTTACTACAAAGATTTTGTCAAGACAAAACATCCATTCCTTGCATAAGAGTAAGCAGTGTTTATCCAGAAATTGTAAATGCTTGCTTTTGTTTTACAATCAAGGCCATATTCTGAAAATATTAGCAGGATATAGGACATGGTGTAAAATGTTTTTTATTATTATTATTTTATTATTATTATTTTAAAGATATGATTTATCCTATGTGCTGTATCCATTACACTCTTTTACTTTGGTTTCTGTTGTGCTCTTGTAAGAGAAATGCAGATATAATTTTCTGAAAAATAGATGCATATGTGGCACTTGGAGTGCACTGCGGTTCAGAAAAAAAGTTTACTTTTTTAACTGTAAGGCGGTTTCTTGTAATTTGGCTCTTGGCAGCACAATAAAAAAATTTTAAACCTATTGATGCCTCTCTCCTTAAATGTTCTTATCTGTTACTTCCATACAGTGATATTACGGTGATTTTTTATTTTTTTTTACCCTGGGAGTAGGATTCATGCTGTTGTCCTGCAGACCTTGGATCAGAGCAGTTCACATCATACTGTGGGTAAAGAACCGTTTGCAGTTACAGAAAGTTCTGGGGTTTATGCTGAAAAATATCACATCGGAGGGATTTGTGGAATTCAAGATAGTTTCAGCATTTGGCAAAGATCAGTCTCTCAACTGCAAAGTTAGGTCTTCAACATGCCACGTAGCCTAGTCGTACCTGTGAGAAAGCCATCACTAATCACATGGAACCCTACTCTAAGGTCCTATAGAAAGTGTGTGGAATCACATTTTGTGCTTCATGGACTTCCTGGGCCCCACAGATCATGTATTTCCCTATTGGCCTGTATTTTTTTTTTCTTCTATTAATTTGCACGTTAATAGATTTGATGTAAAGCTCTGGTATATAACTTTTTGAGGCAAGGAGTTTTTAAGCTTCGCTGTTTGCTCTGTGAAAAACTGCTTCCTTTTCCTTCTTTGAACCTACCCCTTGATGGTTTCATTTGATATCCCTGATTTTCTGCATTCAGTGCAGCAGTGGATCAGTTGGGTATGCCACCTGTTACTTTAGAGATCTGCATCTTCTCTCCTTTTTTTAAGTGCTGAAAAGCCTAAGATGATCCTTTGGTAGCTGTTCCATATCTTCTGGCCAACCTTGCTGCTCTTTGTACTTCCCATTCTGTTGAATTTTTTTTGAGATCAAAGTTAAAGGGACTGAGAATGTCCACATTGTTCAAACACACCCCGGATCTAGAATCATATTTACTGGTTGGATTGTTCCTGATCACTGAGTCAGTGCTCTTACAGAGCAAAAAACTAAATAATATACTAAATTAATACTAAAATAATAAAGTCATTACTCTTACAGAGCAATCATCCAAGATGCCAAATAGTAATAGTTACTGCAAAGCAACTTACTTTGACTAGGATAGATCAGTATTTTTGTGCTTCCCTTTACATTTATATATGCTGAATTTCCAATAATTTCCTCTCCCTTGCTAGTTACCTGTTCCATCATTTTTGCTCCTTCCTAAGACTATGGCTACGAAAGACTAGATCTTCTAGAAGACCAGCTTCAATTTCTGCCTGCAAACATTGAGCTTTTTCATCAGAAAGGAACAAAACAACACTGCAATAATCTGTAGGGCAACAGTGCAGGCACAGTGGAAAAGAGCAATCCTGGCCTCCTTTGCCCTGCTCCCAGTGTCAGGAAGGATCATAGCGGAATGCCTACGTGTCCTAGGGTTTGTCAGCTTGAAAATGCTGTAACCGAGTATGACGGGATGAAAGTCTTGAAAATTACCTCGGTGGCCAGCAGATGCTTTAACAGGGAATTTATTTTCCACTCCGTGTGTCTCTTTCCAAGCATCGAGTAGGAAGCACGGAAAGAAAGTTAAAGGAGGCTCAAAACAAATTCAGGAAGTAGAGAAAAAAAAATCTTTGCGACACGTTATTTTTGGGTATCAAGTGTACAGCCGCACAAGAGAGTACTTGATAAAACAACTCCATCATAAGCTATTGCACAGAAAGACACAAAGTTGAGCCGGCAGGGGATGGATGGGCACGCGGCTGTGCTGATAACAATCAGTACCTCCAAAACTTAAGTTTTGTACGCGTTAGGTGGCTGAGCGGAGGGAAAAGTAACAGCCAAAAAATCCACCCAGCCCCCGGTTACCGGGTGAC